GACTAAAAGCTCCTCGAAGATCTCTTGGCTCTGGCACAAACATACATCGGTCTACACGTCTCGTCACACGGATCGAATAGACAAGGTTGGCCTAAGCTCTCAAAGCTCTCAAAAGCAACTTCAACCCGAAGAGTTGCGGTGAGTTGCGTCTCGACCCAACGGCTCGGACCTTGTTCTGACTGGGCAGCCAAGGTGGCTGCATCGTCAGCATCGCGCAGGCGATGGACGCCTCTGCCGCGCAGCGGTGTGGCTCCTGGTGGACGCCCGGGCCAAAACGGAGGACGCCAAGAACTTGGGAGCAAGAAAGAGGCCACAACTCGGGTGAAACACGCGCGATTCTTCCACAAGTGTTGGAGGAAAAACATTTAAAGACCGGTGTGGAAAGCAAAACACCGTACAGAGACCTAGTAGCATCTCTAATTGCTGAAGGCCACCCTGTAGCACGTAGCTAGGATTCTAGTTCTTGTTGCATATTAGACTGGTAGAAGGGATTGCAGAAAGTATTGTAAAAAGAAAAAGAATCTTTAAACACCAAGCTGCAAAAGTGGGCTTTCTGATTCATGCAGTAAGCATGACTTCCCCCATCCTCCTACTGTTTTCCTGAGTGCGTAGCGAAAGGTTCTCATTAACTCTGGGGCCTGGGGGTAGAGCCTTGTTCGCAACCCCTTGTCTGAACGACCGCAACCGTTGTCAACCGTCCGCAACCGTCCGCAGCCGTTCGCAGTAAGGTGCTAAGGCGCTGCCATTGGGGGAAGCTTTAGGAGAGGGTTTTGCATGGAAGCGGGACGTGTCAGATTCGTGTGAAATAGCGAGGAATCGTGTGGAAACGTAAGATGTTGAAGTGTGGAGGGCGATTTCACTGCGCAGGCGCAGCGCTTTGGAGAGTGGTGCTTTTGGGGTGTGGGATGTGGCTGTGACATTGGGATTCGCGTTTCAGGGTGTTGCAGTGTTGCACCGAAGTGTTTTCGTGACAAGTCTCAGCTGGGATTTTGGTGGATGGGAGTGAGCTCAGAACGTGTCGAAATCATTCCAAACGTGTGGCGTGGTGAAAGTTTTGTTGACGCTCACACGATATGATATTGTCGCTTTTCGTGGCAGGCGCCGTACTTTGTGCGGGTTTGGAGGCGTGGAAGTGCGATTTTCGCGGCAGGCGCTGGGAATCGTGAGGTTGCAAGGTGTGGCGGAGGTCACATTTCGTGGCAGGTGCAGTACTTTGTGCGTGTCAGACGTGTGGACACATAAATTTTCGTGGCAGGCGCAGGGAACCGTGAGGCGAGTTGCGGTGGAGGTGAACGTCGCTGTGGATGAGCGCTGGAATCGCGAAACTGCTTGGCAGGGCTGCTTGATGTGTGTGCTCCGATGGGGGTTCCCGCTTGATTTTTTGGAGGAAGTCTCGTACAAAAGGCTCGGTTTGCAGACTCGAAGCGTGAGTTTTTGAGGAGTCTCCTACGAAACGCTCGTTTTGGAGCGTGAATTTTGGAGGACGTCTCGCACGAAACGCTCGTTTTGCAGACTCCACGTGTGAGTTTTGAGAAAGTGAGTGTCCCACAAGAGTGTCCTACAGAGATCTACAGCAAGTCCCAAAAGTGTGTCCGACAAGAGTATCCCACAAGAGTGCACCACAAGAGCTTTTTACAAGAGTGTCCGACAAGTCTGTCCTATAGAAGAGTGTCCCACAAGAGTGTCCTACAAGAATGTCACACAAGAGTGTGTCCCACAAGAATGCCATACAAGAGTGTCCCACAAGAGTTTCCTACAAGGGAGTCCCGCAAGAGTGTCCTATAAGAGTGCTCCGAAGAGTGTTCCACAAGAGTGCCCAAGAGTGTCCCGCAAGAGTGTCCGGCAAGAGTGTCCTACGAGAGTGTCCCACAAAAGAACCCTACAAGAGTGTTCCGCAAGAGAGTGTCCGACAAGCCCTATGAGAGTGTCCCACAAGAGTGACGTACAAGAGTCTCCCACAAGAGTGTCCTACAAGAGAGTTCCGCAAGAGGTGTCCTACCAGAGCGTCCCACAAGAGTGACAAACAAGAGTGTCCCACAAGAGTGTCCTACAAGAGAGTTCCGCAAGAGTGTCCCACGAGAGTGTCCTACGAGAGTGTCCCACAAGAGTGACATACAAGAGTGTCCCACAAGAGAGTTCCGCAAGAGTGTCCCACGAGAGTGTCCTACGAGAGTGACATACAAGAGTGTCCCACAAGAGTGTCCGAGAAGTGCGTCCCACAAGAGTGTTCCACAAGAGTGTCCGGCAAGAGTGTTCTACGAGAGTGTTCTGCAAGAGTGTCCCACAAGAGTGAGTGTCATACAAGGTGTCCCACAAGAGTGCACAAGAGTGTCCCACAAAGCTTTCCGAAAAGAAAGTGTCCTAAGAGTGTCCCACAAAAGTGTCTCCTACAAGAGTGTCAAAAATTGTTCGGGTGTGTTTTCGAGCACGTGTTTGCATTCGGGTTCGTGGGCTCCGTCTGGTTTTTTACCGTCGCCTCTCTCGGTCCCTCCCCTATCCGGTCGGTCCTCCACCGAGAGGAGCAGCAGACGCATCAAGGGTGCCGGTAGGGGGCCATGTGCCATGCGCAGCCCCAAAGGCTCCACCAATCGTGCCTCCAATCATCGAGGGACCCCCCGCCGCCGGAGGCGAACGAACCGGTGGTCCGCGAGGAACAGACCGGTGGTGGTCGTCCGAAGAATTGGCTCGTGAATGAACTGGCCAAGAAAGAATCAAACTGTGCGTCTGAAGAGAGCAAGAGGGACCTGTACAGCTTGAAGATGCGTCAAGGATGAACTTGCAACAGTGAGCTGTGTGCATCACACCGTAGGTTGGCCCCAGCAGATGAGAGTGGGCCAATGATAGCAGAACAGTCCTAGAACAGTCCTCATCTGAGGGAGATTCACATGTCATCACATGTCTATAGTTTCTCCTTGGGTTTGTTAGGTTGCTCAAACTTGGAGATTCAAAGACGCATTCCACACCACAAAGCTAAATCAAGGCAGAGCGGAATCGGTCAATTCCCCACAGGCGGTGAACCTTTCTTTTCGGCCGCGGTCACCTCCATGTCTTTTATGCCACCATGAATGTTCTAGAAAGCCCTTCAAAAAAATTGTTTAGATCGATGCCCAAGGGGTTAGCCAGCTATAGCCTATAGAAATTTCCTGGCAGCTGACTTGAGATCAGGGTGGTCGTGCCTCTGCATCGATGGCTCCCAAGGCATAAAGGTCCTCGCGGTCAAATGGCAAGACCAACCAGTGCCAATGATCCTTTGAATCATCTTCTTCCTACAACAATCTTCTGGCAGCCAGTCCAACAAATGTTGCATTCTTATTCCTTCTTGGGGGGATTGAAGCCCCAAGAGTTCTTGATGATCTTCATGACAAAGACTTCCCGGTGCCACGCCGATACCCTCCGGTTCCGTCCAACCACTTCTCCAACCCGCGGCCTCCAGAGCCACCTCCAACGCCTTCCGCGCGGGCGGCGTGGGAAACTCGAAAGCACCCACGTCCTCAGTCTCGATCGGATCGCAGGAATCACGTCTTGCCAAGTTTCTTGGGACCAAAACTAACTGGTTTCGACATGTCTAAATGGCTCTCTTCTCCTAAAAAGAGTGCTAATTACTTCAATTCCTAACAGTCCTAATGTGTTTGGCACGATGTAGTGCTATCGGCGCAGCAGGAAAATATCAAGAAGCCTTCCATGCCTCATGCTGTTTCTGCCGAGGCCCTGGCATCCACACCCAGGCACTTCAGGGTCAACACGACATCCTGGAGATGCGAAGACTCGAAGCTCTTCCATCGGGAAGCGACCCAGACCCGAAAGTGGAAGGTAGCAGAGAGAGGTCACAAGTGGCCTATGGACCTTTGACCCAAGCGGCGAACATCTCTTTGACCTGCTGATCTTGCTGACCTGCTTCAGTCAGATCTTGATTTGGAGGTACCAGCCAAGAGATGCTGCTTAGGTACAGGTGTGCCAGCAAGGGATCAGCTGAATTACTATCTTTAAACAAAGCACAGCACAGCACAGCACGACCAAAGAATCTATCTAGATGGATGGATGGATGGATGGATAGATCGATGGATAGATCGATGGATAGATAGATCGATGGATGGATAGATAGATGCTTGTGGCAGGTCGCATAGTAATTATATAGACTCAAAATGTTCTTCAAACATCTTCAAACCG